CCGCTAAGTAGCTAAATAACTAAACTAACATATTCCGCTAATTAACTAAACAACTAAACTTTGTATATGTACAGTCTAAAATGTTTGAAAGATAGCACATTTACCGCTAAGTAGCTAAATAACTAAACTAACATATTCCGCTAATTAACTAAACAACTAAACTTTGTATATGTACAGTCTAAAATGTTTGAAAGATAGCACATTTACCGCTAAGTAGCTAAATAACTAAACTAACATATTCCGCTAATTAACTAAACAACTAAACTTTGTATATGTACAGTCTAAAATGTTTGAAAGATAGCACATTTACCGCTAAGTAGCTAAATAACTAAACTAACATATTCCGCTAATTAACTAAACAACTAAACTTTGTATATGTACAGTCTAAAATGTTTGAAAGATAGCACATTTACCGCTAAGTAGCTAAATAACTAAACTAACATATTCCGCTAATTAACTAAACAACTAAACTTTGTATATGTACAGTCTAAAATGTTTGAAAGATAGCACATTTACCGCTAAGTAGCTAAATAACTAAACTAACATATTCCGCTAATTAACTAAACAACTAAACTTTGTATATGTACAGTCTAAAATGTTTGAAAGATAGCACTCTCGGCGTTCTCATTAGGGCCATTTATACGAGACAAAATAAGACGCGACTTACATAAGACGCGAGTTAAATAAGACGCGAGTTTGTCGTATAAACGGCACGAAATTCTTATGTAAGACGCGTCTTGGATAAGACGCGACTTAAATAAGAACAGGACTTTTAGACGTTCTTATTTAAGTCGCGTCTTAAATAACAAATTTTGGACAAAAATTCCAACTACAAGCACATGCCCGAAAGTGGCCGAAACTTGAAACAACGTAAAATTATAAGATTTGCATATTAAAACAAAAACAACCGAAACAACATTATAGCTATAGCAAGTAAATAAGAATAAAGCCGTAGAGAACCATTTATGCGATAACTCCGCTTATTTAAGTCGCGTCTTATGTAAGTCGCGTCTTATTTTGTCTCGTATAAATGGCCCTAATGTTGAAATCAATGTTCTTAATATCATACATGATTTTCCTTGCCCTTGAACAGGGCCCTCAAGCAGGTAAGTGCCGATCTCAATAAAGCGAATGAGGTTCTGGCTCTTATCCAACTCATAGTTGTCGCATAATCTTCGCCTTTCTTCATGGCTACCAACTCTGCCAATCGACTATGGTATCTCACACATTCTTTGCCCATACCGCCTGTGGTGGTGAATACGAGTGGCGTAAATGTTCCTTGCTCTATTTCGAGGACTCTCCTTGCATATAGGCGCTTCTTCTCGTTTTCGTGTATCTTGTAGACTTGGCGTAGCTCCAGGTCCTTGTACGAATCAGCATTGGGATGACAAACCCTTACATCAAAAAAGGCTGATCGTTGACTTTCGCAGAACCCACGCGCACGAATGTCGAGTCTAGCATCAGGTGCTCTGTTGGAGCCTCCATTTAGTTGCTCTCCCGAGATGTCTTGTAGGACAGGCTCAACTTGGACGTCACTACAGACAATGTTGAGGAGTTCCGCTTCCAGATCTCTTAACTCATTGTGGCGCATAATTATACAAAGCCTCCACGTTTGCAGATCATGGCATGGTCGACCGTGAAGGTATCCCCACATACACATATGGAGGGGATGTCGTCGATTGGCCAATCATAGCGCAGCTTTACGGCGTCCCGAAATTCTCTCTTATTCAAGTTGAATCCCTGCTCTTTTAGGGGAAGTGCTGTGAGCCACACAGATGATCCTTTTTCCGAAGCCACATCTAATATACGCTGAATTCTTGGTGGTGCACTCTCTCTAATACGTTCTGCCCTCTCCTCCCACTCTTGCACTCTTTCTTTTCTAACGGCTTGTTGCGCTGATTTTATATGCGACTCGTCGGGTAGCTGATGGAACTGCGCTACAATCTGATCAACAAGGGGTGCTGTCACTCTTTTTGACGACACATACTGACGTTCTGCCTCATGACTTGGATTTTCCAAGCCCAGGCCACCCAGACATGCTGGAAGTGCTAGAATGTCCCGATCGAGTGGATTGCACTGGTGATCTGTGATAGCGGGGATGAGAATCTGCGATATTGCCTTGGATGTCTGGCAGGGTTCTTAGGAAGTAGGTCCAGCGATGTTTCAAACCAAATGTGTATGCGGCATAGGACGCTTGTGGTTGGGACAGTGCAAATTCGGCTAATTCTGTCACTTCGTTGACCCGATTAGAGACCTTCTCATTAACATATTCCTCCAGATACTCTCGTGAACCTAGCGCTGCTCCCAGATGTTTCTGCCCATGCACTGTTACACTGATATCCGTTCCATGGAAGACTTCTCTCACACTTTCTTCCTTTTCGGGCTTAACAATAATCCAGCATATATCCCAAAATATCCCAAGTTTGGACCAAGAGTATTCAATGCATCCCACCAATCTTTGATTTGTGTCACACGACCAGCTCCACTCGCATCGTCTGCGAACCAACACTGCTTCACGGTAGATGCGGCCTGTAGACTCGTGATCAAAAGCAGGGTACTTATCGCATAAAAGGCCATTGCCAAAGGATCTCCTTGTGTGGTTCCTTCTGCTGACGCAATCTCTTTGCCGCCAACAATAAACAGCCGAGCTGGCTGTCTGTAGGTGTTTATAGCGTAGGCAGCGATTATCGGACATAACACACGGATGTTATGCAGAGCCACAGTTCTGTTGAGTGCATTGAATGCATTGGAAGCATCGACAAGTAAAAGAGCATCAATGTCATCAGCTTCAAACAGGGTGTTCATTGCATATATTGCAGCCTCACTTCCAGACTTTTGCCCAGCGCATAATTGTAACGATCCACTTGCTTCCACAACGTCCTTCTTTGCAAAGCTCATAACACATTTTGCACTTTTCCTCCTTATTACCTCTCCTACTCCGATAGGTCTTACCGCACCTTCGCCTTTGTCTAGAGGAATTAAACGACTAGCAATCAATGCTTCAATAGTGGTAGGATCAATATATTGTGTGCACAAAGTCTTGGTCATTCTGGCTATAGCTTCGCACAGTCTTGTAGATGATTGTTTAAAGGACTTACATGCCAACATTGTTCTAAAGCCGTTAGCATCGACACCAGACGCGGGCCTCCAGATCCCTTTGTTCTCAAAGCGGCTTGTCTAGCCATCTCACCATTGATCTGTGAGTAAATAGATTCGGGTATCTCGTTATTGAGCGGGCCAAATAATACCGATCCGAGCTTTGCTGGTTGTGGCTCAGGATGCTTCTGTTTTAATTGCGTCATTACATCGTCAGTTAACGTTAACACGCCGCCATTTGAGGTTTCACTCAGGAAGCGAAGGGCTGAGTTGATTTGACCTTCTAGCACAAGCTTAGCAAAGACTTTATCCGGGTGGAAAAAAATTTTTAATTTATATTAATTTTTATATTAATTCAGCATCGAACAATACTAGTTCAGAACTAGTATTGTTCGATGCAGAACTAGTATTGTTCGATGCTGAATTAATATAAACGAGTATGTTTATGACATTCAGTATATATTTCATATATTTCCGTCTGACCGTGTAGCTCAGTAGGTAGAGCGTCGATCTAGTAATTCGAAGGTCGCGGGTTCGAGACCCAGCCGCAGCAGACAACATCTTTCTGCTTGCGCTGGGTATGGAAATTATATAATACACACTCTAGAACATTTTCATCTTAATATATATATATATATATATATATATATATATATATATATATATATATATATATATATATATATATATATATATATATAGTACAATCTGCAGACATGCATGTTTCGGCGTTCAACGCCTCGTCAGTGCAACTTGGTACACGTCTAGATACGTGAGACACTCGTATTTATACCCCATGAACTTGCTCTCACCAAGGCATGTGGTACAACACGGTGACTCAACGCATCCAGACATGCGCAGAGCGTAATGGGGCCAGAGTGCTCAAACAACCACCAGGGAAGTGAGCATATATATATATATATATATATATATATATATATATATATATATATATATATATATATATATATATATATATATATATATATATATATATATATATATATATATATACACGATTGAGCGCGGCAAAAAAACGTGGGAAATTGTTATCTCTTTTTGGAGAAACATTTCCTCGAGAATTTTCACAAAAAAATTCATTGTTTTAATCAACCAAGAGTTCAAACTTATACTCGCGAGTCAACGAGATTTTTCTGTGTTTCCCATAAAGTTCGCCGGAAAAGTTTGAGAAAAATACACTTCTAAAACAGCAAATCTGGTGAACTGGATCCTCATGGCTACATTAAAATTTGTATAGTTTCCAGGACATTAGGTAATACCACTGTGAGTGCAGAACGAATGAAAAATTCAAGTAAGAAAAACATAAACAGATCGAGGACCCGTGCTCAATCGAGTTACCGTGCTCAATCAAGTTATCGAGCTCTTGGAATGTTGGGAGAGCACTAGTCAAGCACTAGGGGTAGTCTGGGCTACCGCCTCGACCAACTCTTACGTTATCGTGCTCTCCCAACTTCCCGCCTGCTCAATAGCGAACTTAAGCAAAGCTTAATCTAGTACGGGGACGTGTCAAGAAACCGCCTTAAATTTTACACTTTCATAATTATAAAGAACCACCGTTATTAAGAACTTCAACAAAGCAGAACAAAAGTGCAACGAGAACGGCCAATAATATTATATGAATGCAAGAAAATGGGCAGAAATTAATAATTAAAATTTCAAGGACGTTTTAGACGTCGGCGTAGCTCTGTTTTACAACGGCGAAATACAGAATATCGCGTCTTGTATACAACGCTTGCATTTCAAGCTGAAACAACTGTTATTTTAAATTGGGTCCTAGAACTTTTCTCAGTCATAAACCCAGTGTTAATTTTGATCCTTAAAAAGTATTATTTTCATACGATGGATAATAGACGACAGGTTTTCTTCCGCAATCATTTGGTTCAGCGAGTTTGTTTGCCGTCGCGTTCCCGTCCTAGATGCTTAAGCTCGCTAATAACTCCACTGAGCACGCCAAATCATGAAAAAGTCTTAATTTTACGCTGGGTTTCAATTTTCCGACATTTACAGATTTGACAGACACGTGCAGAAACGAAAGCGAAGTTTGGACGGTTGACGACTGTAAGGAATGCCGGTGTTGGAAAGGAAAAGTCTGGTGTGACGTCATCATTGTTTGATGACA